TCTCTTCATCCATTTTGAATTGAGCTTTATAAGTTTTCGTAATTTGGAATTCTGTTGCTGTGTACCTGTTTGGACTTTCGAAGTAAATATTGAGAAACTATCAAGGACTGTTGTTTTTTGTTTTTGCTTTTTTTGGATATGGAAAGAGGGACCAAGCGGAGCGTCAAGCTAAGGCTCCATTAGAAGGAAACCTACAGCTGTAACACCCCTCACTACATACTTTATACACTGTTCTCAGACAGGCATCAACATTTTCACACGTTTCTCTTTTCTTTAAACTCAAAGTTCAAACCTTTGTAGAGAAATAAGGCCAGTATTATAAAACTAAAACGTTTCATCGACATTGTTGTGTTTGTTGGGGAGAAAACGTACAAACATACAGTGCAGCACTTCAGAGTCACACTGCTAGCGATCGAAGATTTATGTAAATTTGACAAGCTGAACACATTCTGTACTGTACAGGAGCCACGGCACGAGATTGACAATGGTCCACAAAATTACGCACAAAAAAAATCCGCAAAACAGCGAGGCTGCGAAAGGTGAACCGCGTTATAGCGAGGGACCACTGTATTTTGGATTTGTGAAAGGTGGACATGGCTGCATTATCATGGTCTCATCTCTGCTTTACAAAGTCCCATTTTGAGATCTGTGTGGCTCTAACCAGAATCCCTGAGCTGGAATCCATGTGCACCGTGGTTGTGCTGTTTATGCCTTTTGGATTTTTATGCAGTTATCTAACAAAGAACATGGCTACCATGGAGTTAATTATGTCATCAGAAAATGAATGCCAAAATATTCTACCATCAGGAAGCCTCTGCAGCACACACATCTCTTGGCTTAACTGGGCTCTGCTGACTATAGGAGTGTGTGCAGTCATGCAGGTAATATGCTTCTGACAAGAAATGCAAACGTGCAGCATTTTGTGCACTTGGTTTATTAGAACTGAACAACAGTGCAGTGAGCCTGAAGGTAAAATTAACACGTGATCGTGTGCGATTTGAGTCCTAATCTAAAGGCAGTGAGTGCCACAGACCTTAAAAAGACTTGGAGGGAAAATTGGGGGCAAAAAGTAGACTCGTCTTCATTTTTATGGTTAGACTTCTTTTTCATGTGTTTATTATTAGCATTACTTTTACAATTCGTCTTTCATGATGTAGAATAAAAAACACTTTATAGTCGCTTGAAAAACTTTGAGGCGCTTTTAACCAGCGTTTCTCGCCCTGTGCGGTTCCACAGGAGGCCGTGGGTGTGTGGCATCTCCTCTCTGGGCATAGATCACACTCAGATTCTCGGAGACACCGTCGAGAAGATCGCCTGGCAGAAAGGAGGCATCTTCAAGGTGTGTCTGTGGTTCAGCTTGAACCCGTTATTTCTTTTTAGTTCCTGTTTGTAACTCTGCATTATTGTGTTTGCAGCCTGGAGTCCCCGCCTTCACCGTCAGACAGCCAGGGGGCGCCATGCCCGTGCTCAAGGAGCGGGCCAAAGAGATCGGAGTAGGAGTCCACTTTCAGTCACATCACACGCAAAAATGAAGCTTCAGTTTTATCTAACATGCTCTAACTGTTGTCGCAGTGCCCACTGTGGGTGTGTCCACAGCTGGAGGACTACCAAGTGGACTGTGGACCTTTGCACCTGGGCCTTGCAGGGCAGCACCAGCGCTCCAACGCCTCCCTCGCCCTCCAGCTGAGTCACACCTGGCTTCAGAGGAGGTGCCTACCAGGTGTGATTAACGTTTATACATAAATCTTAAATATCCCAAATGGACATAAATTGAATACTGCCTGAGCCTCGAAACCACGTAGCTGAACCGTGATTTTCTTTTTCTTTCTTTAATTCTTTTAAATGTAAAATCAGTGAGAGGAGTTGGTCTACATTGATGTCCGCTGCCTCACGGTAAACAGATCGTGCTGCTGTCTCTCACTGAAGAGAGCACAAACAAAGAGCAGTGCTTCTGTGGCAGAAAGTGGCTGATGTCTGTTGTGCTTTCAAAAAGTTGCTAAAGAAGTCAGAAAAATCTAAATAAAACTGACCAAGGTGAAGGGGGAACTTGAGGTTCACAGGTGCATGATGAGATCCACAGTATATAACTTACAGGACTCGGATGTAAAGATCCTGTCTAAATCCCTGCCTGTATTTTAGCTCCATCTATCTATGACACTGCCTCCATCATGCTTCAGAGGAGATGGTGTGTTCAGGTTCACATGCAGTGTTATGTACCCACCACACACAGCGCTTGGAAGTAGGTCAAAAGATTCCTGCTTCCATGTGTTTGCTGGGCTCCCTTCATGGCTTGTTGCAAACTGGACTTTCTTTAGGGGTGTGAGTGAAGGGGTTAGGTGACGAGAGTGTTAATAGAAACCTGTCCTCTCTCAGCAGATCACAGCTTTCCCGTCACCACTGTTGAAAACAACGGTACACTTCAGGCGCCTGCATTCAGTCCCAGCCCCATCATAGTTAAAGGTGAGTCCTGCTGAGCCAGTCAGCTGCCATTACAACCAGATTGTCATTCAGTGAGGTAACTGTGTGTGTTTGTTCTCAGGGCTGGCAGATGCTAAGTGGCCCGGCAGGACCCAGACCCTGAAGCATGAAGAGGTGACTTACTTCCTGGATGGAGCTCACACCATGCGCAGCATGCAGGCCTGCGTTCGGTGGTTCCGAGAGACTGCAGCTGAGCACGAGAGGAGCGCCAGGTGAGCAAGACTTGTTAAACGGTGTGTCAAAGACCACCTCAGACAGCCACGCTCTCTTTAAATCCTAGAAGTGTTTCTGCAGGAAGGTTTGTACTTCACATGCTGATTTGATGCCTCAACATGTTTGTTTTAGTGGAGCTGTGGCCAGAGTGCTGCTGTTCAACGCGACAGGAGAGAGAGACTCGGCTGCCATGCTGAAACTGCTGGTGGTGAGTACAGCTACTTTAATACGCACACATTCATGCAGAGAGGAACCGACCCCTATAAATAATTCTTCTGCCCTTTTTTTTTCTCTCTCTCAGACGTGTCACTTTGACTTTGCTGTCTTTTGCCCAAACATCACTGAAGCCATTGCTTCCTGTAACGCAGGTGAGTACTCTGAATGGGATGCAGTTTCTGAAAGGAGAATAAAGAAACTTCTCTCTCTCGATAGAGATACGTTCAGTCATTTTGTTCATAAGCAGCTTGAAACCACTCTGTTCAGGAAAGGGCTTCAAGGTTACTCCCAGTTGCCTTTCAAGGGGGAAAGGGTTAATGTTCACCTGCACAGTGGGAGTGAAACCTAACATGGCGCGTTCAGGAGTGACAGCCTGTGCATGCGGTTTGTTAATGATAAACATAATGATCGAGCATCAAGGTGTCCAAAAGAACAACAGGACACACTCGTTCGACTCTCGATCAGACCTCACATGTCTAGAACAGTCGGGTGAAAATGGGAGCTGAGCTGGTGGTGCTGTTAGATCAGGTAGTGGGACATGATGCTGGACAGGCCTGGTGTAATCACATGGTATAGTGAGGATGCACTAGGAGTGTCTCAGTCCAGGAAACTGACTGGGACATAGGTGTGGAACATGGTCCACTCTACTGCCAGATGCCAGAGATAAAAGAAGCTGTTGAGGATAGTCTTAGTTGGCTTGTTGGACTCCGGAGGCTGCTGACAGCTAACGAGGGCCAAAAACAAAACTCGGGTGCAGGAAGAGTTCAGTAAGGGCATGGAGCAAGAATTTAGTCTTAACCTCTTCCTGCAGATTTCTATACACAGGATTTATTGGACTTGTTGTTTCCTTCTCAGACCAGCAGAACTTCAACGTGTCAGTGGAGAACATGCTGACTCGCTGCTTGGACAACGAGAGGAGCTGGCGCCTTCATAACCGGCTGGGTGATAACGAAGGCACCCAGCTGCTGATCCAGGAAAGTCTTCCTCGTTTACCTGAGCACAGAGGGGACACCTTGGTGTTCCCGTGCATCCTCAGCGCCCTCCAGTGGATCACGCAAGGCAGGGACTCTGTGCTGGCCGACCCGGCCAAGTCGAGATTGCCGGTTAAACAGAGTGTCACGGCCAAAGCCGCTCCCCTCCGTGAGGCCGCGGAGATCCACGTCCTCATCACCGGAAGCCTCCACCTGGTGGGAGGAGCTCTCAAACACCTGGACCCAGCTTCCTCTAAGTGACCATTTGCACATGTTTACACTACTGTGGGAAACTTACCAGGACAGAAGAAGGTTTTTCATGCTTTTAACATTTCAGACTTGGGGATTTGTTTCTCTGAGAGCTAATTATGAGGACTGAGGCAGCTCCAGCTTCACCCTGAGCCTTACAGCGCAGACGCTCCAGAGTGTCTTCAGTCTTACTTGAAGCCAGATGTGTTTACATGAGCTGTAGATGCTACAAAGAGCTGAGCTGGTCAAACGGAATGATTTAAACTGCATTAATTGTTTCTGACCCTGTTGGGAACGTTTAATTATCACATTTCAGAGATCTTTAAAAATTGAGAAATATTTGCACATTTTCCTTTATTGTGTCACTTTGGTTGCACAGTGTGCTTCGTACATGTGGCCTCCTCTTTTTAAATGTATAAATCTGGTGGATTCACGAGTTTAAAATCAGTGTTGCGTTTCTACGTCTTATTTAAATGGGCCTTAATTTAACTTCATGGTCAGACTGTGACACATGCAGTCGGTGTATTTAAAGCTAAAAGGTTAAGCCCTTCAGCCATATCCGTTCAGACTCTGACTTTTATGAGCACAAAATGAACATCGCTGTTTTAAGTTTCACCAGAAATTCACTTCTGTGGAAGCTCTACGATGGAATCCGCTCGCATCTTTAAAAACTGAGCCGGTTAGTTTATGCAGACGTTGTGCCAACCATGGTTTAAAACTTTGGTGTCCTTCTTGGTCCTGCTGATGGGAAATGTTTTACAGACACAGTCCACGTCTCCGCAGTGTGATCCACAATAAAAACGGTTACAAAACAACACCTGTGAGCTGTCTCCTATTATTAATACAGACACACTATTAACTGATCTGAAATCAGCAGGTAGCTCATTCCAAAGAACAGGACCACTTGATACCGTATGCAAGGTTTGTGAATATACAACCTGTACATCAGTGAAGCGCAGTGAATTTAACAGAAAAGTTAAGAGAGTAAGCCCCCCCCCCACTACAGTTTAACAGGATGAACTAGACCATCTTGCTGCACTGAGCAGAAACATCTTTACCTTCACTGAAGAATTAGCGCAATTCTTAGAATTGGAGTGCTAGAGGGTTTTGTTGTTTTTCTTTTTTCAAACACCATTCTGTCAGTCTGCCCCAGGGCAGCTGTAGCTACAACTGTAGCTGCCTCCACCAGTGTGTGTGTGTGTGT